AATAAATCGTTACAACTCTTCCGTGACACTTCTGGTTTCCACACGCGTGTGCGGGCTAAAAGTAGCTCTGACGCGCATTCGCTGCTCTTTTCCTTTGTCAGGGCGGGCGGATTTAACGCCTAATATGTCTCCTCACCCGCTATTCCGCCGCTCCTCCAAGCCTTCTTTGTTCAGGCATCCCCGTCTTTTATTGCCGCTGACCGCCGGAATGTTGTTTTTTTTTTTTCTCTCCTCCCCTCCTCCCCCCGCACCTCATTTCACATATAGGAAAGGAAAGAAAAAAAGGAAAAACTCGAAGAGAAAGCWGTCCACAAAGAAAAAAAGAAGGAGATAGTAGAGGTGAGGCCCTTCAGAGGGACAGATTTGGAGATGTAAGGAGGGGTTTTGTGCTCTCTGTGGGTAATGAGTATGAAGGGAATATGGGAGATTAGAAAGAGGGCGGGCCAAGGGAGCTCCGGGATAAGGGTAAAGGGAGAGCGAGCTGCTGGATAATTGTGGAGAATGAGCCTTGAATGACTTAGTATAGTCAGCACAGCCACTCATGGAGAAAAAGAGTCGAAGGAGGAAATGGAGCCGAGAACAAGTGGAATGCCASGAGAATGTGGCACGGGAGATGTGGTCCTGCGCCCACTGAAGTATCCTGTGGTGCGCAAAGAGCGCGGGTTGGAGAAGGGTGGGGGGAGGAACAGGATGGAAATGCACAGACTGATGGAGGTCGGAAGGGATCTGGAAGCAGATGTACCACAAGCCTCGGCTAAGTCATTAGCCTGTAATCACAGAGATGCTTTGGTTGTCGGGTGGGATGGCAGCAGCTCGTCGGGATGTAAGCTCGTGGGAGACAAGGAACTTCATGTTGGGGATGGACCAGAAGGATTGGCTTTTTAAAGGAAGGCTGGTTGGGAGGAGTGTTCAGCAGGAGTATTGGGAATGAATAACAGTGTCAGAGCAACAGTGCACTCAATGCACGCCTGAGACTGCGGTTGGAAGTGGCTRGAGCTCTGGAAATTGTTGCGCTTGTAGCAAAGAGCACATGGAAATGTCATCCTGGCACCAGTTTCTGCTCTGACAGATTTGTTTCAATCAGGATGAGGAGAACGGAGCTGATGAGGATGATGAAGAGAATCCTGATGATGTGGATGAAGAAGAAGGTGGTGATGAAGATGAAGGTAGGGAAAATTGAAGGAATAGGAGGCTGCAGAGGAATAGAGGGTTGTGGGGGGAAATTCCTCCTTGAGCCCTCTTGACTGAAATTACATTCCCTTAAATGCTGCTTCAGTTTAACGTGTGATTTTGTTTTCCTGCTTGTGCTTAGAAGGAGATGAGAATGGGCAAGAGCAAGATGGCCATGCAGAGAAACGATCTGCAGAGGAAGAAGAGGTGAGTAGTAGTATGAGAATAGTGGTGGGGAGAAGGAATGAGGCTACTTACTGAGTGCTGATCAAATCCATGTGGATGCTGCTGCTGAGAATCTCAAATTGGCCTCGGGTCTCATTGCTTCAGCAGCAGATGGGTAAACAAATCTGATGTGGCAAGGGGATAGTAAATCAGTGTATGCTCCTTGTAGGATCCAGGGCCTTCCACCAGCAGTCATGGTGCTGCATGAGAGAGAGAGTCGAGGTGCTTGAGGTCGTGTTTGGCAATGTCCTCACAACTAACCTGGTCTTCAGGGCTTCAGGCCAGGAGATGGACTTGTAGGGRTGGACTTTGGGGTCTCTCTGGAGTGGTGTGAGCCTGGACTTCTTGCACCTCGTGGACATAACTGTGGGTGTCCCTCTGAATGGAACTGTTCACATCTTAACCATCACCAGCAGAACAGCTGTGTCAGGCACTCGAGGGTGCTTTTGAGGGGAGTGGATTTAGGGTGGGCCTAGCAGAGATTTCGATACGGAGGAAAGAACAGCAGTTAAGAATTTTGTGGAGAAATTATGTGCCTTGGAGTGGTGACTGATGGTAACTTTCCGCTCCATGTCTGATGCAGGATGAAGTGGATCCAAAGAGACAGAAGACAGAAAATGGCTCTTCAGCTTGAGTCCTCCTCTCCCATCTCCCCTGTTCCGTCCATCTCTCCTCCTCCTCCATTCCAGCCTGTGCTTGCACTGCCCGTTAGCCTCTGGCTTCACACAATCTCAGATGAGGAAAGATTAGAAATGCTCTCAGACGGGGAAGACAGCAGTTCCCTTCTCACCAAAAGACCCAACCCCCCTCCCATGACATTCCCCAGCTGAAATTATCCCAGTCCCCTGCATCCTTTCACCTGGGCCCCACTTACCAGCGCTCCTCTTCCCTCAAGAATCTCATGGTTTCCTGGGCACACAACCTCTCCAGGCRCTTCACGTGGCAAAGCACCTCCCATCCCCTTCTCACCTGCCCTCCTGTTTTTGTCACTGGTATGAGATTCTTGAGAGCTCCTGCTCCCCAGCCCTGCTGCCAGAGCTCCTCCCTGAGCCAGGAGGCTGCGGGCACAGATCTCATGGTGCGTTTCCCAGTCCTAAGCCTCCTCTCATCTGCTTTCCTGCTGAACCCTGAGAGACAAAGAATATTACAAAGCAAATAATGGTTCTATTAAGCAACACACGGAGACAGGATTTATTTTAAGTTTTTCTTTTTTTTCCAAGTTTACATGACAGCAAGCTGGCCCTCGTGAATTTTTCGGAAGATAAGGGTTGCTTTTATATATAAATTTCATCTGAGCTGCATATTTTTTTAATTTGGAGGCTTTTTTAAAACAAATCAAGAGAGAAACAATTGGGGACCAAACTTTGATTTCCATTATTTCCCTTAAGATTTTCTTGTGACCATTTTTTGTAAATTAAAGGCAATATAGCCACAGCATTTTCTATGGCACAGACATCACGAGGATGATAGATATAAATATATATATTGTTTTCAACAAGCACTGTAAATAAAAGCGTTTAAAAATATTTCAAACCGCTGGTGTGGATGGCTGTGTGTTTGACATCCTGCAGGGGTCGGTGGGAGTTGGTTTGTGGGAAGAGGGGGGGGTGGAGAGGGGGTTGATCAAAGGGCATCTGTTGGTTATTTGAGGGCCCCTTGGGCAGCGGGGTGGGATCCAGCTCCCGCCGTGCTGCAGCTCCAGCAAGGGCAGGGCACAAACACTGGACGAAGCTCCAGGGCTGTCCCGAAGCTCTTGAAACTGCGGTTGGGCCTCAGCACTGGGCAGAGGAGGTTTGGGAAGGGAAAGCAGGCTGTAGCCGCTGGATGCAGCCCCGTGTCGCTGTCACCGTGCGCTGYCCGTGGCCCCTGCCCTGCCTGGCCTCGGCTGTGACTCACACGGCACCGGGAGCAGCGACCAAAGCGCTTCAAGARGCAAGAGCTTCACGTCTTTGTCCCGCCAGCTGCCTGGGGGAGAGCTGTCAAGCGTTTGTCTTTTTATCTGTGCAGACTAAAGCTGCTGTTCGTGTTTCTTCTTTTCCAACTCGCACTTTGGCAATCGCGGCGAGCCACYGGGAGCTGTAAATAATACCAACTTTTGTGTGAGCGTCAGCGGCTTTGTGCTTGTCCGAGTGCGGCCGCGGATCAGACACCGGGAGCGCACACACTGACTCGTCTCCAGAGGGCCAAAGCAGCCGCTGCCATTCTCTCYGAACGCCGGTGTTGGCCTGCGGGGCAGGGCGCACAGGGACACTGCTGTGCCGAGCCCTGCTCCCGTGGGTGTCTCCCGGGTGGGATCCGCTGTGCCGCACCTCGGAGCCCGTTCCTGGTGGAGCTCCCAGCAGCTTCTCTTCTTCCCCGAGAGCCGCGTTCCAAAAGCAGGTTGCGGATGCCTGGGAGTGGCTTGCGACATCCCTCCCTGCTCCCACCCGCCCTGGGCGCTGGGCTCCATGGGCTGCTTCAGCCTGCACGTACCTCGTAGCTGCGCTGTCGCAATTTGGTATTCCCAGCATTGCTCCATTTTGAGAAATTACAGATTCTAGTCTCCGTTCAAGATTTGGGCAAGTCTTCAGGACTTCCCCAAACTTTCTGCTCAGCAGCCAGCTTTTACTGTTCAGTAGCGAGGACAAATTATCGTTGGATGATACAATCTCTGCAGAGGCAGATAACAATTTTCATACTTCCTCCCCTCCACTGCTGCAGTGGTAGTGAAGGATGTACATGCCAAGGAGAAGTTACGGAGACATAACGCCATCTCTGCTTCCTGTGTGGATACAACACCAGGACCAGTGGCTCTATCCAGGCAGTCATCCATAAGGAAGTGGCACAGCAGCTGATTGTTAGGCCTGGACTAACAGTGTGGGCAGGCATGCTTCATGTCCTCTGAGGGAAATACTGTGGGAAAGAGGGAAGTGACAACGGGCTGCCAGACAGCTTCTCCATGTCTCTGTGGGCCCTTGATTCCACAGCATCTACTATTTCTTCCATCTTACTTAGTTTTATTGACTACCTTTGTCATTRTCTGTGRGTAGTTGGAAGATACAGCTAGAGAYACAGAAATAGAAAAATGTCTGCTTTGGGATTTTGTCATATTGGTGACCTGCAGGACATAATCTCTGACTTGAGGTGAGGGCTACAGATAACACAAAAGAAAATCACAGCTTTTCTTCCTTTCCTGTAGATCTGCAAAGATCCATGCTGTATCCAGCGATATTTTGGCTGACAGAGTGAGCAAAGCAAACAATTGCCTAGATTTCCAGAAAAAAAGTTGAGAATGCAGGGCTTTGCACTGCACTTCATCTCAAGCCTGCCTGCGTATTCAGTCTGCGTCCAAACCTGCAGGTGCTTTTCATCTTTCAGCCTAATTCTTCTTCCACAATGAGATCAGTCGTGTTGTGCTGGTGTCATCAAGGTAAGAACAAAGCCCGTCTCCACCGGTGACTCCTCAGAAGTGACGATACCATTGCGGGGCCTTGTTCGCCCTTCTCGGCTCTGTGCTAATTCTCCACTCGTTTCATTTAATGCCTGTGACCATCTGCTAACCTCATCAGCTGGGGGCAGAACTCCCTCAGCTCTCCCTTCCTTGCTTCCGATGGAACCTGCGGCAAGATTACAGCGGATCTGGTCCTGCCAGCCAGGCAGTGCTGGAGATTTCCTTCTTTCTCCTCCTCCTCCTCCTCCTCCAGGTCTGCTTGCTTTGAGGGAATTGTGGAGGTGTCACAGTCGTGCTCTTGCAGGCTCTGCTAGACTTCCCTCTAGACTATCTCTGCTTCCAACGGCCCTTTTGTGAGGTCTGGAAAAGCAACACTGACACCAGTGCACAGAGCAGGCAAAGCCACCTGCAAGGTCTCAGCTGGCTCCTTGTCCTAGCTKGGATGGGTGAGTGACCCCTCACTCCTTGGCAGGAATCACTGGACAGTTGGGACCAGGGCCACCAGGGTGATGAGCAAACCTCCTGAAGGCTGTTGCTGTGAAAGGGGTGTCAAAGCACCAGGACAGCTCTGGCTGTGAACAACAACGCTGCCTTGTCAGGTGAATGAAACCTGACATCCAGCTGATGCCCCTAGCTGAGCACAGCAACCTGATGTGACCAAGAGAGTTGGGTTGGGGATCTTGAGATGTACTGTCCACCTACTGATTTCTGTGATACATGAAGGAATAGAGGCTTGCCATGGAAAATTTGAGCTGAGTCTGGAGATATTTCGGAGTGCTGAATGTCCTTTGTATCTTATAGCYGTCACCTTCTTGTTTCCCCTTAGGCAAATGATCCCCTCTGCCTCTTTTTGGTCATTCACACCAGCTTTAACCCAAGAGATGATTCAAGACTGGAATAATCAAAACCATTGCATGGGCAGAGTCATGAACCCCCCTTCAAACCTGGAAAAAGTGAGCCCTCCAGCCTCTGCTGGTCTGGGAGGAAAACCCTTCTTGCCTCAGGAAAGTCCATAATAAATCTTGTTGCACTAGGTATAAAAAAAAAAACCAAAAAAAACAAAACAGGGAAGATCAGTTATTTGTCCTTGCGCCCCCACTGCTCCCTCTGGGTTCAGGGGTTTCTTTAGTCCCTCTGGCTGGGAGACACATTGCTCAGCCTCTTCCCATATGCCATATGGGAAACTGAAACAACTTGCCTTCCCAGATCCTTAAGAAGCCCGTGTACTTTTCCCTCCCACCTCTCTCCCTTATTTCGAGCACGGAGTCAAAGACAGACGCTCATGGCTGCTCCAGTCTGTTTTCTCAGGGAAGGAGTCTGTGTTTACGTGTGTGGGCTGGGACATACTGCAGATGGACAGGACGTCTCATCAGTGGGTGAATTTGGGGTTTCCTTCTGGACCCYGGCTGGACCCCAGAAGTCCACCAAAGCTGCTCTAATGCTCCCCTTCTCAACAGGATGGGCGACAGAAAATATAATAAAGGCTCATGTCAAGAAAGGGTCATGGGTCAAGATAAGGACAGGGAGAGATCATTCACCAATTACTGCCACATGCAAAACAGGCTTGACTTGGGGAAAATTTAATTTAATTTACTACTAATCAGATCAGAGCAAGATAATGAGAAAATAAAACCATATCTTAAAACACCTTCCTCCCAACCCTCCTTTCTTCCTGGGCTCAATTTCACTCTCAATTTTCTCCACCTCCTCCCCTCCAGCAGTGCAGGRAGTTGCATTCAGTTCATCACATGTTGTAGTTTCTCACAGAAAGCACCCCTGGAGCCCCTCCATGACTAAAACCTTGYCACACAAACCCAGTACTATTTCCTGGTGAATTTTCATTGTTTTAGCAAAGCCTGAACACTCACAGGGGTGAAGAGAGACCTAAGGTCTCTAAGTATTCAAGGGTCTCAGCCGCACAACGTGGCTCATGGGCCCAGAGTGGTGCCACCCAGCACAGCTTTGCTCTTGTGGGAGGCATTTCCTATTAGATACAGGAGAAGGTGCTTTCCTGTCTCAGGAAGCCCAAGTCCCAGCTGGAAGTATCTGTGTACAAAGGAATTCCTCAGCTGAGCCTCAGTGAGCTGGGATATGGCAGCAGCTTCACCTTGTCAGGTGTCCCCGKGCAGGCAGGCTATGGCAGGGGGCTTGTGATGTGCTGCATGTCACCCATGAAAGAGGGCAGAAGAGCACACGACTCGTGTGTGTGCTGTGGGTGACATCTGGCTGGTGCTACTTGTCACCAAGGGCTGCAGGAGCTGCACACTCACCTCCAGTGTTTTTTGAAATGACGTTTTTTTGTTCCCATTGTCTACAATGCACCTTAAACATCTCATCTCAAATAGTCCAGGTCAGCTTTTCCAGTGTCCTGTCTGGGTCCAAGATGCTTTATTCTCAGTTTAGTTCCTCAAGCCATGCATGGTATGATGCCAGCAGGGTGGTTGGCTCCATGTCCCGCAATGAAAGATCTTATCTTTAAGTCTAAAATGTTACCAGGGCTGCCTGCATCCAAGATAGAAGATCCTGCAACCAGTAAAAGATGCAAGAAGCAGCAAAAATATCCAGTTTCCAGAGCCCAGTGATTACCTGTGTCTGCCAATACCTTCCTGGCAGCTCAGGCAGTCATGGCTTAGACTTTCCCCAATCTTGCAACAATTCGTGCATCATTTCAGGATGCATCTATTAGGCTGTGTAATTTGTAATTAAAAGTTTCAAAGCCCCTTGCATCCTCCAGCAGCTTTTCTGTTGCTGCACACCCAAATGACTTGACAGAAAAGACTTTTCTGGACAGCACTTCTCAGCGTGACCCCAGGTAGCTCTCCTTTAGGCTTGTCCATAARCACACCAGAAATCCCACCAGGAAAYTCACARCTGGTTGCTGTTTTCTTATGGGAAGTTTCTTGGTACTTGTAATTTTTTTCCTAAGTCAGATCCAGTCTTGAAAAGAACTGAAGCTATCGAAAAAGGCTCCAACAAACCTCCTGAGCTTCCAGAACAGCAGCATGGTAAATATGGACCCAGATTTGAGCTGGGAATTTGATGTTTCTTCACAAGGTAAATTTCACAGAAGATTCAGTAGGGATGTTTGGAAAAGCCAGCCTTGTAAT